ATAGATAGATAGATAGATAGATAGATAGATAGATAGATAGATAGATAATGGGAAATCTTCCTTTGTTACACAAATGTGTAAAATATTCAAGTGTCTACCATTCCTCCTTCCACCAATTCTCTCCCTTACGTGAATTACCATGACATCAACATCAATACTAGCCTGGAAACTTATGCTATTTCCCCACATTTTATCAGAGACAGCCTTCAATGAAAAGAAAGGCAGCTTAATAGAGGCACAGTGGCAGCTCCCCTATTACAGAAGCTTGGTAGATTCTGTCTTCTTTTAATACTTGAAGCCCTCTCTGCTAACATGTACAAATATTGTAATGTTTGCCTGAAAGAAATAGATACCATATAGTATCTTTTATAAATTCCAATTATTGGATATAAGCAAAAAAGGAATGAATTGTAACTCAGTGTTGTATATATATGTGTGTGGATGTATACATACAGGTGAAACACGAAAAATTAGAATATTGTGCAAAAGTTCATTTATTTCAGTAATGCAACTTAAAAGGTGAAACTAATATATGTGATAGATTCATTACATGCAAAGCAAGATAGTTCAAGCCGTGATTTGTCATAATTGTGATTATTATGGCTTACAGCTCATGAAAACCCCAAATCCACAATCTCAGAAAATTAGAATATTACATGCAATCAATAAAACAAGGATTGTACATAGAACAATATTGGACCTCTGAAAAGTATAAGTGTTAGGGATATACCCTAGCAAGATCTGCAGGGCAGTCAGGCAGGCAGGCAAAATATGTGTGAGATAAACGTTGTGTAGCTTACACTCAGTAAAAGCAGATACACAGTGCCTATTAAATAGTTTTATTCCAGCAAGAGTTAAAGCATAGTCAAAACAGTCCATATATCATTCACTTAGTTCAGTCCGTCCAGGGATTATTCAGTTGCAAATTCCAGTGTCGAAAAAGAGAGGTCAGTACACTTACAAAGTATCAGTCCGGTGATATCTCCTCGCAGTAGAGAGATATGAAGAAAAAACTCCTCTCTTCCTTGAGCAATTCGTCAGTAGGGAAAATACAGCAGCTAACAAACATCAACGTAATCCAATCCAGTAATTGTCAGTAATTGCCAGCAAACGTCAGGGAATCGTCAGCAAAAGCCAGGTTGTCTTGCTGCCTCTTATGGTGGTTTCACACCACACCCAAAATTACATGCTTTGCATTTAAAGTGACACACACTTAAACTAACAATCATAGCTTATATATATTATTTTACCCAAACTAGTTAGGTGACCTATGTTATACCTAACAATAAGCATGCATATGTACTCAGTACGTGGTTTGGGCCCCTTTTGCAGCAATTACTGCCTCAATGCGGTGTGGCATGGAAGCTATCAGCCTGTGGCACTGCTGAGGTGTTATGGAAGACCAGGATGCTTCAATAACGGCCTTCAGCTCTTCTGCATTTTTCGGTCTCATGTCTCTCATCTTTCTCTTGGCAATGCCCCATAGATTCTCTATGGGGTTCAGGTCAGGCGAGTTTGCTGGCCACTCAAGCACAGTAATCCCACGGTCATTGAACCAGGTTTTGGTGCTTTTGGCAGTGTGGGCAGGTGCCAAGTCTTGCTGGAAAATAAAGTCAGCATTCCGATAAAGCTCGTCTGCAGAAGGAAGCATGAAGTGCTCCAAAATCTCCTGGTAGATGGCTGAGTTGACCCTGGACTTAATGAAGCAACATTAAGCAACATCCAACATTAGTGGACCAACACCAGCAAATGACATGGCTCCCCAAATCAACACAGACTGTGGAAACTTCACACTGGACTTCAAGCATCTTGCAGTGTGTGCCTCTCCATTCTTCCTCAAGACTCTGGGTCCTTGGTTTCCAAATGAGATGCAAAAGTTGCTCTCATCAGAAAACAGGACTTTGGACCACCGAGCAACAGACCAGGTCTGTTTTTCTTTAGCCCAGGTAAGACGTTTCTGATGTTTGTTGTTCAGGAGCAGCTTGACAAGAGGAATACAACATTTGAAATCCATGTCCAGGATCTGTCTGTGTGTGGTGGCTCTTGATGCACTGACTCCAGCCTAAGTCCACTCCTTGTGAAAGTCCCCAACACTTCTGAATGACCTTTTCCTGACAATCCTCTCCAGGCTGCGGTCATCCCTGCTGCTTGTGCACATTTTTCTTCCACACTTTTCCCTTCCACATAACTTTCTATTAATGTGCTTTGATACAGAACTTTGGGAACATCCAACTTCTTTTGCAATTACCTTTTGAGGCTTTCCCTCCTTGTGGAGGGTGTCAATGATGGTTTTCTGCACAACTGTCAGGTCAGCAGTCTTTCCCATGATTGTGATTCCTACTGAACCAGACTGAGAGACCATTTAAAGGCCCAGGAACCCTTTGCAGTTGTTATGGTTTCATTAGCTGATTAGAGTGGGACACTTTGAGCCTAGAATATTGAACCTTTTCATAATATTCTAATTTTCTGAGATTGTGGATTTGGGGTTTTCATGAGCTGTAAGCCATAATCATCACAATTATGACAAATCACGGCTTGAACTATCTTGCTTTGCGTGTAATGAATCTATCTCATATATTAGTTTCACCTTTTAAGTTGCATTACTGAAATAAATGAACTTTTGCACGATATTCTAATTTTTCGAGTTTCACCTGTATATGCAAAGCAACTTTTAGAGGTGTTTTTTTTTTACAAAACGTTGCATTTAAAAGAAAAATATCTGTGACCCTACAATTCAAGCTAATTACATGTAGCTCTCTATTCTTATTATGTAATCAAAATTTTAAATGACTTCTGAAATCCTGGGCCACAGGGAGTGAACCTGGGTTTTATTTTAATTGATTTAATCCCCAAGAGGAATGGTATAAGAGTGATAATTAATTCAAGGATTTGTGGGGAGGGGGAAGAAGAAGGATTCTTCCATCCAGGGAGAATTCTCATATTTGCTGCTTATTTGACGAATCTCCTTTCTTTTTATTACCCTTCTTGCTTCAGAAAAAACTAAGTCAGTGTCCATATTGTGCATATGCAGTACAGATGGATCAGTCTCAGTCTCTCCCTCTCTCTCCCATTCTTTCTCCCTCCCCCGCCTCCATCCATTCCCTGAATTAACTGCACTACGTGCTTTATACAACAAGTCAAACAACCTGAGCAAAAATCAAACCAAGAATGCTTTAGTGTTAGCTATGCGCAAAGCCATAGTGTCCTTCAGCCTTCTAACAGATCTGATTTACAGGGCAGAGAAGATCCACCATAACAGCAAGATCCTCCATTTCTTACCCCCGAAAAACAGCTCCAGCAAAGTGACCTCCACCAGCCATCAGGATAACCCAGGAGATTCTGGGATTCTGCCTCTGAAGGGAAGCCACTAGATCTGCAGGCTCTTCAAAATTGCCCTGGAGATACAGCAAACTCTTCAATTAGTGAAAGGTTAAACTGAGCAACACACACACACATATACACAAACACCTGCAAACTGGCTGTTGGAGATCTTTAGGATATTCTTGGCCTGCAGAGAAATGTTAAGGTTTTAATGTACTAAAGGGAAATTCTGCATTTCCAAGCAACATAAATACAAAAGTAAAAAATAGTGATTCCAAAAAGATGTTCTTTTCCACAGAACATGTGAAATTGGAAAACTGCAACCATCCCATAGAAAAAGACAATTCTTTCCAAGGAAACTAACCATGAGCAGGGAGAAATCATTTCAGTGAGGAAAAATTGCAAACTGAGACAACATGGGACTTGCTTTGCTGAAATATAATCAGCCTAGAATGATTTTGAAAGGGCTATTTGGTTCCAAGTTTAAAACAAAACATGTTTTAGTTCATAAACATCCCACTCAGAAATAAGCTGGCAGAGAAAAATCACAGCCAAAAAACTAGGGCAATTGACAGATATTGGGAATCATCGTTTAGCAACTGCCTCCTTTACTAACTGTTCACCCTTTCATCAGTGATGAAAAAGTAACATTTTTGTTACAATTATGATCTTCACAGGTCTGTAAAGCAAAGGAAAGCTGAAGTTGTAGTTTCACTGAGCGATCACTTTGCTTAATGATCAACCTGCCAGTCCTAGTTGTGGCTGCTAAATTAGGACCACCTGTATTCTAATATATTGACCACAAGAACTGAAGAGCAACCTCAGGTAGATGAGATAACAATATTGCTCAGAGACTCAGAATGCTTGGAATAGAGGCTGTAGCCCAGGAAAGCAGAAAACTAGGTGGAAAAAACAACAGTTAATAATTCTGCAGAACACACTGGATCACTTAAAACCTAGACTGGATGTCCAATGTGTGTCCTTTTGTGTTTTACAGCTGAAAAGCTAAGTGCTTCATTTGCTAATGGGCAACTAGTAATTAAAAGAAGAAAAAGCTAGAATAAGACCACGTGTTTTCTGACATGCCTTTGTAGTGTTTAGCAGCACACAGCGAAAGACTGAAATGAGTTGGGCTTCAGAGTTTTTGAACAGTATGCGTTGAGAGCGTGGGTTGTAGTAGCCGGTTCCTTTTCTTTCACCATTCAGACAAGATTGTGATTCAGATTCACTATTTGACTCACAGTCACTGGAATCAGAACCAGAGATACTGGAGACATCATCTGTATACAAAGTAACATTGCATTGAGTTATTTATAAACTAATAAGGTAAGGATAAAAAAATAATAAATACATAATTGGTGATTCTAAGGATTCACTTTCATTAATCTGTTAACAACTTCATAGCTGGATTATTAGAATTTTCCTGCTAGGCCAAAAGTTTGTTGATTGAAATCATAAGAATTAACAGAATCCTGAAGCAATAATGACTCTTATCCGTATATTTTTTTTCACCTGCTTGAGTCTTCGCTTCAAATTCTTCAACTGTGAGCATCTGACGTCCCAACAATCGCTGTTTTAGGTTGAAGCGATGCCAATCTAACCGATAATGCTCTTTCTAAATAGAAATAGTAAGTAGTTCAAAAGATTGGAACTAAATTTCTTGTGATAAATAAGCAAAAATTCTTAATGAATCTAAAATGCCTTTATGATTTTACACATAAAAACAATTCCCATCAATACATGGTTCTCTCTGCAATAATTTGAATAATTTAAAATCCCCAGGCTTCCTTTGAAGCAAGAGACTGCCCTGTTCATACAGAAAATGCTTGCAGTAATGGCTACCTGTTCATCTCGATTCTCAAAAGCCTTTGAGCAAACAGAGCAATACATCCGGTCTGATACCTCTAGGATTAACTTAGCTTGTTGGAGTTCCTTGGTTTCTGCAAGAACAGCAAAAAATGGGCACCAATAACACAAAATTACGTGATGAATGTATGTCTTTATAAAAATTCATTGAAAATAGGCACAGCATTTCATCAGCCACAGAAAAAAAACACATTATCTGTGGTAGACATTGATTTATAACAGCCTTAAAACTAAAATGAAAACAGATTTTTTTAAATAAAACCCAATTCTGTCATTTGGCTTAATAAGATGAATTCATGTACAGGTATTCCTTGACTTATGACCACTACTGGGACTGGAATTTTGGTCATAAGTCATAATGGTTATAACGCAAGTCAGTCATGTGACCATATCCAATTTGATAACTGTTTTTATGACAGTTAAGTGAACCAGAGTTGTAAACCCGAATCCATTCTCTCAAAATCTGAATTGCAATATTCCCATGTAGAAAACATAAAAACAAATTATTTAAGAGTATTAAATTAATTTTAAATAGTTGCTAAAGAAATAAATGTACTAAATTTGTATACTAATCATGAAAATTTCAGGTGGTAGCTCACCTTTATTTCTATTTTCTCCATGTCACTTCTCCTATTTTAATATCTGAAATTATCAGGAGCATTTGCTTCCTATTTTCAACTGTTTACAATTAACCTCAGCTCCCTTTAACAACTAAAGAAACTATTCTTTGTTAATATGATAACTATCTTAAAAACAGATGTTCCTAATGTTTTTAACTGGTAGAGCAAAAATAGGATAGGAAGAAAATGTAGAAACTCAAGGCTGGCTGAAGTTCAGTCACATTGTGGGAAAACAGTGGTTTCCTGTTATGTCTAAATGAGGTCGTTCACAGGGTCAACTCTCGCGATTTCATTAGCTTTGAGAAGATGCTTAATTCAATACAGATATCTGAGAATTAACCAAGAAGGATCCATTATAACCTTTTCCCTGGAACATCATACAGAATTATTCTTTCTGCTATAATTTCAAGACAACACAGGAAATTTTTAGCTACCTGGATCATATTCCACTCAACCTGTATGTCAAACTATATTGCAACCCACTATATAAGATGTGGATTTGGTAATGCTGACCAGTTCAAAGGGTTGTTTTATTAAACATAACCAAATTCTTTGCTGCCATTTAGTGGTCATCCAGACTGCTGAATCCAACTATAGTAGTTCTAAGAGTACAAGGCAACAGGAAAAAATCGGTCAACACTTCAAAGAATGTCAGGTATATCACAATGTTCCAAGTCTGAAGTTTCTGTAAGGTTAAGCTATTATATGAACAGCAGTCATTTATTTGTAGTACACACCTGTGGCCTAATAAAATTTGGCTAGCTTACTCTAGCATTAATTTTCTGGATTCTAGGGAACAAACTAAAACGGAAAACAAAACCAATTTCAACTTCAAACTGAAGACTTTAAATCTGGTAAATGTTTATGGAGATTCTCAGTCATCCAAGTCATGGTTGTCCCAACCAAAATCAGGTAAACATGTAGCCATTTGCTGAATCTCCCCACCCACATTTATAACATTTGTTGCCCATAAATTCAGCACCTGGAATTGCCACAGAAGTGATATCTTCTGTTGATTCAGTGACAAGGCAAAGTCCATTCATTAAAGCTGTATTCTGAGCAGCTTCAAACACAGACAAGGTTTCAATAGGCTGCATGGTCTGAAAAGATGGAGAAAAATCAGCAAATTTTAAGAACAGATATACAGTAAAGACAGTTGTTATTTAAATTCAACAGGGGCTTCTGAAAGGGATGCAATTTACCTCACTCCACCTCCAATGGGAAATAGAAAAGGACAGGAAGAAGCATGCCTAGAGCTAATTATTTCATTCTTACCTAAGTAGATTAAGCTGCTATTCCATACCATCTTGATATGGTACGATGACCTACCATTACTCTCAGTGACCCAGAGTAAGGCTGAGAGGTGATTGCCCCTCCCCTAAGGTATAAGGGAAGTGCAAAGGTAGAGAATTGCCAGCACAATTGAAGCCAGAATTTTCATTGCTGAGCAAGATGGTTGTCAAATAAGTCATGCCTGATTTTACAATCTTTTTTGCCTTGGTTGTTAAGTGAATTGATGCAGTTAAGTGAATTGTGTAGTCATTAAGTAAATCCAGCTTCCTCCATTAAGTTTGCTTGTCGAAAAGCCAGCTGGGAAAGTGACAAATGGCAATTGCATGACCCCAGGACAATGCAATACATACCAGTTGCAAGCACCCCAATTCTGATTACATGACCGTGGGGATGCTGCAATGGTCGTAAGTATGAAGACTGATTGTAACTTACTTTTTAAATGCTGTTGTAAGTTCAAATGGTCACCAAACAAATAGTTGTAAGTCAACATACATGTATGTTGCAGGAAAGAACAAACAATCATCTCAATTAAGAATACCAGCAAATTTAAAAAACTGACAGGAAAAGGATAAGTGAAAAATATTTTAAGGTAACAAATCAAAAATCAAAAATAATGTAGGAATACCTATGTGTCATCATTGGAGAGCTGTAATAAACAAGTAGACTTAAAAATAGATAAATATACAATGCCAAAACTTTTTATATAAAGGATTCTAGAATGATACATATTTATAGAGAGAAAATATACTTTCAAAAGCCAACTTAGAAAATTACATACAATACACACCAGGCCAGATACTCATTAGAGCCAACATTTCTGAAATATAAACAAAATTATATGGCCCGGAATCTGGAAAAGATTAGTATATATATCTCACTTGGCTTAAAATTTAAAAGGAGAATTGAACAGAACATAGTGAAATGTCAAATGAGTTTCAAAAAAGGCAGGACATGGAATCAGATGACTGTTACAAGTTGATAATGAAGAGAGGAAGAAAATTTGAGGAAGTACATCTAGGCCACTGATTGTATAAGTCATACCAGCATACAATACAATCAGACTAATGGGAGTGCCAGAATACCCTTTTTGAAATGCAGATAACACAAATTTGGTTGTGAAAATAAAAATGGAAAGTGTAAAACATTTGGGTTAATATTAAACAATGTTGAGCAGCGTGCTCAGTGAACTTACAGCTGATGGTGAGGTGTTTTCCTTGGCTCAAGATTGACTATATCGCAGATATAAAGAGAAATTAATCCTAGAGAGGAAGACAAACATACATGATGAAAGAGCATTTCTGTAACAAAAAGAATGGCTAAACATTATAGTCTTTGAGTAATACAAGTTATACATTATAATGAGAAAGAGTGAAAGAAAAAAAAGATATACCTATGAATTGGGGAGCTGGAAATTGTCTCTAAGAGAACTGTGGACGGCAAGAAGAGCCAGCCAATCCTGGATCAAAAAAAAGGACTGTTCCCTTGTGTTAGCAATCTACAAGTAGAAATACACACCATTTCATAATGTGATACAGGATAGATGTTGGACTATATAAAACCGTTTGGCAAAGTTAAGATAAGTAGAAAATGGGGGGGATGGCACAACAGATCAGGTGGATGGACAAAATCAGAAAGACTGCTCGGACTGTCCTTGAAAGAGCTTACACTCAGTAGACAGGTCGAAATTGCGACCCTGTTTGAATCAACGTACCTAGTATTCCCTATAATAAAGACACAGAATAAGTGGAGGGGCAACATTCAAAACACCTCTGCAATCACTTTACTTAACCTATAAACCACCAACTGGCTGTTGTCACCCTCAACTATCCCGGGAGGAGGGGGAGGCGACAGCCTAAGCCACCCCTTATACCTCCGAACAGCCCACCGGAGCAAGGACCGGGCCCCGCTCCACGAGCTCGTCGACTCTGTCACCGGGCGAGAGACGTCACTTCCGTCCGTCATCGCGGATTTCCCTTACAAGACAATCCTCGCCTTCTCACTTCCTCCCCACCCCAACGGCTTTCTCATTGGTCCGCCCTGATTGTACCTCTTCGGCCCGTCGTGACCTCTGATTGGTAGCGGAAGACGCCAGACGGAGGGAAAGGCGGCGGAGGAGAAAGAGTGAGTGACAATTCCCCTAAGTCGCGGTGGTAGCGGCGGCCCTGGCAGGTTACCAGGGGCGACCGCAGAGGGTGAGCCTCCTTAACTCCGGGGAAAAGCCGGGGAGGAGGAGGAGAAGAGCTCTCCGCGTCTTCTCCAACCTGAGCTTCCCTTCTCCCGTGTAAACAACCCCGGAGGAAGGCTCCTCCCTACCGGAGCTCCCGCAGCCAAAACAAATCAACATATCGGGACTATCTGCCTGACGCGCCCGGTCTATAGAGGGGAAGAAGGCGGGGGGTGGGGTGGGGTTCCCTCGGCAGGGGAGACTTCCGACACCGAGCCCAGCCCCACATAGCAAGTCCCAATGGCCAGGTCGTCCGAGGGTGGTGGGTTAGTTTCACCTTTGCTCACCTGGCTAGAGCCCCCCCACCCCCACCTGGCCCGGGTTGGATGGGCCTCTGCCGGCTTCTGCGCTCTGCGGGTCTGGTGCAATTGCTGAAAAGGAGGGAGGCTCTTGGTTCTCGCTCTCCTGATACTTACATAAAGGGTCCCCCCCCCTCCCCTCCTCCTCCTCCTCCACCCTTGGAAATCGCCACTGTAAATGTGCTGTGGGGTTGTTGTGTTTTTGTTTTTGTTTTTGTTTTTGTTTTTCCCCAGGCACCAGCCTACCAGGTGCTAAAAACGCTGTGGAGATTCAAGGCTTAGAGATGCCCACCATGCTGCTTGGTCTTGCCAGCCACAAAACAAACAGAATGTTTCTTCAGCATTAGGGCAAGATGGAACAGGTTAGGTTTTGGTTTTTTTGTCCCGTTTTGTTCTGATGCATTGGGAAGGGTTTATTTTAGAATAGAATGAATCAGCTGGAAGGGACCTTGGAGGTCTTCTAGTCCAGCCCCCTGCTCTATACCATTTCAGTCTCTTCTTTTAAAAAAAACAAAAATCCTCTAGTGATGAAGCACCACCTACCACTTCTGAAAGCAAGCTGTTCCACTGGTTAATTGTCCTCACTGCTAGGAAGTTTCTCTTTAATTCCTTAATTCTGCCACACTACAGATGGAGGCGGTTTGTCAGAATAATGGTAGGCAGTAGATTAGCTGCTGTTTCTTGTGGGTGGGTTGGTTTGCCTCTCTGCTGGACAAGGACAGATTTTATCCTAAATACACCAAGAAAAACATCTAAAGTTTGATGTGATTGTTTTTATTTGCAGAACTGGCAACAATGCAAGCATGTGCTCAGAAGGCAAGAGCATCGTCTGCCATGCTATTGTATTCCTGCGACCTTTTAACCTAGCAGCATCAGAAAATTGGTAATGGACTACTAGTTGATTTTCAGTTGGCCACCTAACACAGCCCTTTGGTACAATTTATGTAAATCTTGACTAGATAGATTGTGATCTTGCCCAATAAGACATATATGAACGTGTGTATGTGTGTATATCTATCTATCTATCTATCTATCTATCTATCTATCTTTGGTTTTTCAGGTTTTCTCCCGCATAAAATTGGAAGTATTTTGGTGACGTTTCGACATTACTCCAAGAAGCACAAAGCCGAAGACACAAGCCTGAAGATGACGAATGAGATTTCATCAAAACGTCGCCAAAATACTTCCAATTTTACGCGGGAGAAAACCTGAATAACCAAAGATCCACATACAAATAACCGCGAAAACCTCAGAAATATATATATATAAAGCATGTGACATAGACCAGTTACAGGTATGCACTCTTGCTTTTTGCATTTAAAATACATTTGGAACTATAGTAATTCTGTTTAAAAATCTGTGAGAGATAATATCAGAAGACTGAAGCAGGCTTGTGTTCTGTTGTTGTGGTTACAAGTTTTCTAAATGAATATGAGGCAAAATACTGTATAAATATTGTTGAATTGACTGGAAATAGTACACACACACACACACACACATACACACACACACGTATAATAGCCAAGGAAGTTTGATTTTAGTAGACTAATCTTTAAAAAAATGAAATCAGTAAAATAAAAAATAAAAATCAGTAAATTGAAAGAAGTTTTAAAAGGTTAAGGATATTTGGAAATTATGAGAACTCAGCATTATATTCTATTTAGAAAGCATGTCCGTTTAAATAACATGTTTTTTAGTTAACATTAATATGCTTGCATATGAGTTGATTTGAAAGATATTGCATAATTTTTGCCAGTACTATTAACAGAATCTTTTATGAAAAGCTTCCAAATAAGCTTAACAATGATAGAGTAAAAGAATATATTATTTTATGGTAATCAGATTAAACTAAATAATACATTTCACATTATATAGACCGGCCTTTCTCACCATTTTTTTTCAGGAGGAACTGAAATAATTTCCAGATCTCAGGGAAACCCTGCATTAAAACCCTAAAAAATTGAAAAACTGTAGCATTCAGTTCTAACCTACACAAACCATGTTTTACTATGTTTGCAGCAAAGCGGCATGCTAATAACTGAATCACAGTATGTAAAAATTCACTTCACCAGAAGTGCTAGGACTACTTGGTGTATGATTTTTTTTTTAGAAAAAACAACATTTGTATCACAATCTTATCACAAAACCCATAGTGATCTCTTACTGTCTATGAAAACCTAGATAGTTAAGAGTGATTGAAAGAAAACTGAAGTGTGAGGCACTTTAAAATGATCTCTTTTAAAGAATGTGTAGGAATTAAAATGGCAAATATAATTTAGCGTAGGTGATATATAAAGTGATATATAATGGAGCAAAAAAAAAAAAATCATATACACCAGTGGGTTCTTCATGGGATTTGTGGTGTGTAGCTCTCTGAAGAAAGTGGCAGTTGGGAAGTGGCAGCTGGGAAAAAGAAAAATCCCATGCTTAATTTAAAATTGCTAACACAGTACTGTAGAATAATGAATTGATACAAACAGTTGATACTTGAATGCTGATACTTGAAATCCACTACATGGGTTCTCAAAGGACACTGCAACAGTAACATTGACTGTCCCAAAGGAAGGATGGATATGCAAGAAATTATGTAGTTTAGTGTATAAAAGTATGCTGGTACGGCAAACTGTGAAGCTGTTAAGATTCTTTGCCCTGGAATGTAGTGATTGTCCAAAGGGGACAGCATTAAAATTTCATGAAGAAGTCTACCAATCAGAGGTGGTATTCAGTAGGTTCTGACCAGTTCTGGAGAACCGGTAGTGGAAAGTTTGAGCAGTTTGGAGAACCGGCAAATACCACCTCTGACTGGAGAATTTACAGTACCCTTCCCCTGCCACGCCCAGCAGAACCAGTAGTTAAAAAAATTGAATCCCACCACTGCTACCAACGGCCACAAATAATCTTGGTTTTCTAATCTCAGAAATGTTATGGTCTGAATCCTAATTTCTAAGGACAATGATAGAAGGTGGTGGTTGCAGACATGTCCTGCTTGTGGTCTCCCGAGAGGCTCTCTCTGAGTATTGTGTCTGTTGAACCTACAGTGCTGGGCTCAATAAGCTTTCATCTCATCTAGCACGAAGCTCCAATTCTATATTAATCTGTGCATGTTGAATAGATCAATTTTTAATTGTGTGTAGCTTACCAGCTGTGCTAACTATAGATTAATCCTCTCCTTGTGCACTCAGTGTATTTGAGTTGACTTCACAGTCCAGAATTTGGCATTTGTAGCAGAATTAGTTTTCTGAGACAGTCAGTTTCCTGTTGTGTTTTTCTACATTTAATGTAATCTTTTGCTTTGTTTTTAAATGAAAGAGTTGCTTGATAGCATTTTTATGCCATATATTTGTTACATTAAGATTTATTTTTAAGTAGCATGTATTTTTTCAACTTACGTGCATTTTAATGCTGTAATAAGAAACTGAAAATAAAACTAGAAAAACATTCTTGTGAAGGCCAAAGGAGAGCGGTATATTTATTTGACTGGAAAATATTTCATTCGCATTTAGGGAGAGCTTGATACAGCATAACTATTTGTGTCAAATCTGTGCTTATGTAATATGTTTTTTTGTTTTAGGAGTATATCTTGTAACAGACTGCAGCTTGTAAACATGGAGGCAATGAAAGTCGAATGGCTGGACAATGAACAGAATTTTTAATGAAATGAAGTGTTTTTCCTTCTTGTTTTATCCTCAAGTAGTGATCAGAGAGGTGAGCCAATCAGACTTCAGGAAAAAGAGGGGGCAAAAAGAAAAACTAGTAACTTCCATAATTTTCTGCCCTGTTGCTATAGTTTCTTAATAGTTTCCTCTTCTCTTAGTCTGTTTGGTATTATGTACATAAGTATAGCTTAAAAGAAGAAGTTATGAACTGCCTATTTGACTGATGGCTCGTAATTACATCAAATTGCTGATCCCTCTTCTCTCTGTCCTTCACTGCCCTTTATGTCAGAGTTTATAAGAATTTAGATGACAACATGGCTCACTTTGATACTGAGTATCAGCGACTGGAGGCCTCATATAATGACTCTCCCCCTGGAGAAGAGAATCTGATGGTTCATGTCCCGGAGGGAAGCAAATGTAAGTATAGATGGACTGCTAACCTTGGTATCAAAAACTCCAGTGGTATGCATTGTTGAAAAGGAAAATTGGGGATTCTGCTCCATGTTGGTGGAGGAACTGCATTTCTTATACAATATGATCCTAATTTTCATTAAATCTAGTGGAAGGAAGTTTCCATAATAATTGGTTTTAGTTTTAGATATTCCAGATGCTATTCTTAGTTCGTTTCTCCTGGAAATTGAATGTTTCATCTCATAAATCAAAACACAAATAGAAACACAAATGCCTCTTAATTCCCTTTGGGTGAGATTGTTTCAAGTGAAAATGGTAGTCGCAGTTTCTGCGAAGAGGTTATCTTTTGGCAGGCATTCTCCCTTTCTGGTAAAATCTTCTATGATGAATGTTGGAATGAATATTTTTGACATTTTGTCTTGTGTTGTAGCTCCCTGGCATCACATTGAAAATCTGGATCTTTTTTTCTCTCGTATATCCTTACCTGATTGCAGGGACAAAATAACTGAACACCAAGGAGAATTCCATTTATACCAAATTGGAAATCACTTAACAAGGAGCCTTTTAACTTCAGGATTAAGAAATTATTACAATAATAAACCATAGTGACATAAATTAGGAAATAATTGATAGATTAGTTGCATTCAACAGAGTACTATTGTAAATAAGTACGGAAAAAAACTAGAGCGTGTTTCAGTTTCAATTATACAACATATAAATTATATATGTATAAATGCACATATATTGTATATTTCATTTAGAAATGATCCTTGCAACCAATAGATTCCTCACAGATAACAAAAAGATACAAGGATGTAAACTGTACAGACAAATAGTCCTCAATAACTGCCAATGACCCTGGAATTTTGGTTGTAAGTCTTTGTAGTTGTTAAGTGGGTCGCCAGCTAACCTGACTTGATTTTGTGACCTTTTTATAGAACAGTCATAAAGAAGTCATTGGGGTTATTTAATGAACTAGATGACTATAAAGTGAATCCATTCTCCTGAATGGATGATTTTTTTACTAGAAAGCAACAATAAATGCCTGAAACTAACAAAATAATTTCAAATGCCACGTGGCTGCAACCAGTCATGCCAAGTGCCCCAAATGCAGTCACATTACTGTGGTGGTATATAGCAGTCATAACTTTGAAAATAGGTCATAAATAACATTGGGGAGGGAGAGGTCTGTCATAATTTCCTACGCAAGAAGAACTACCTGCACTTTCCAAGGAAATTCTTTATGAAGAAAATTACTGACTCCCTACCTCAAAGTGATAACTACTTAATATTATAGCAAGGCAGTTAAAAGTGGGAGAGAAAATACCATTTCTAAGTCACAGATTAAATTGGGGGTAGATTCTACAGCTAAAAATTTGACAATTCTCCTTGACTATAATCTTCACGTCTATAACCTGCACCAGAAGAATGGCTTCACATGCATGCTTATCAGTGAGATCTTTGAGTTAATGTGAGTATAATTTTTTCCTCCCTGGATTTGTAGAAATAATTTTTAAGTTCCTATGAGCCCTCTTGTCAATCAGAAGGTGAAAAATATAATAATCTCTCACCTAGGTTGGTGATACTTCGCAATGCACAATTCCAGTTACCATATTTTTAGGTTTATAGGATGCACATTAGCTTTAGAGGAGGAAAAAAAAAAAACTACCTCTGCCTCCATTCGCTGCCACCGCAGCCCATTCACCGCAACCCATTTATCGCCACTGCCGCCGCCCATTTGACTTCACTGTGGCCCATTCGCTGCCACCATGGCCTGTTCACCACTGCCCGTTCACTGCAGATTGCCACAAACAGGCGGTGGCGGTGGTGATAGGCAGTGGCGGCGACAATCCCTACCGCCTACAACAGCTGATTGGCACCCCACCAACCCTCCCCATCACAGTGCTCACTCTATAAGATGCACAGACATTTCCACCCACTTTAGGTGGGGGGGGGTGCATCTTATAGTCCGAAAAATACGGTAAGAAATCGTGTCTTGATGTGCTGACTCAGTTCGAAAATTGATCATAGGAAACCTCATACTTTCTGTTAGCCCAGGTCCTTTCCTGGACACTCTCGCCACTCTTATCACTCTCCCGCTGGTGCCACAAGTGTTGTTCAAGGTCCATCTGGTCCAATCTAATTTTTCTTCTTTGTTCTTATAGGCAATTCATCTTTGTTGTGGCCTTTACTACATTCCTTGTCAGCTGTGTTGACTATGATATTCTCTTTGCCAACAAACTGGTGAATCACAGTCAGCATTCCAGTGACCCAGTCAAGGTGACTCTGCCAGATGCTTTCCTGCCTCCCAATGAGTGCAGTGCCAGGTAAAGATAGCAGTGACTAAATACAGCCACATCCTTTGTTCATCTTTGTGAGACTTAATACAAGATCTCCCAGATAAGCAAGTTCCCGAGCGTCATAATCGGTAATGCTCCGTCTCTACTGTATGTTGAGAAATTTAGCTTCTAGTTAGAAATGTTTTCAGTTGTTTGACTTGGGGAATGAAATATTACATGTCCCAGCTTGTACACTGGCTAATTTGTGATTCCCAATAGCAGTTACAATGGATCTTAAACTTCATGTATTATTTACTTGCAACAGTTTTAATAAGGTTAGCTAGCCTATCTTTGGTCTTCTATTCCCAGTCAATGGACGAACCACACATGGGGGAGGGGGGAATCTGTTTTAAAAAGACCACTTTCATATTTTTAAACTTGAATGTACGCAGTATTGTTTATCTGGATGTACATTCAATTTATTTATTTTTTATATTTTATAATTATAAATTATAATTCTATTTATGACATTTGGTTAATGTTTTGAATCATCAAGGACCAGTTTGACTGGGAGTGAGTAGGTGATGTCATATGATTCATAGAGCTTTGTTTTGTTTATGTAATGATGTCCTTGATATTTTTCCCATTAGTCTTACCAGCCCAGTTGCTTTGGTTATTGGTATCTTCATATTACACATTCTCCAGATTTTGCTAGAGTTGCCTGAATTCTGGTAGTGGGAGAAGAAAGAGTTTATTCATATTGCTAAAGCATAAAGGCAGTAGCTATTCTTTCCCATCGGTGACTCAGTCTCTCTTTTCTCTCATAGAATCCAGGCCAATGGATTTCTTCTCTCCATCCTAGTGATTGCAGGGGTCTTCTGGATTCACCGGCTGATTAAATTCATTTACAACCTATGCTGCTACTGGGAAATACATTCTTTTTATGTGAATGCGCTCAAAATTCCCATGGTAAGCTATTGAGATTCCCTTCACTAAGAGTTCATTCAAGTGGAAAGGTACCTGAGTGAAACTTTTTTGTTTAGAGGCCTTATGATTTACCAGTGAACGCAGTGTCTTTTCAGGCATCCCAGGGACACCTGGCTACTGGGGAGTGGGGTGGGGTGTGGTGCTGGATTAAAAAGCCTGTTCTACTACCAGCAAGGTAGTAGATGCATTCTTTTTTTTTTTTACAAGTATAAATGTCTCAATCTTTTATTATAAGATTAACCATAATGCACAGTACTTGTATAATCATAAACAATTCCAATAATCAAATCCCAAAGCTAAATTTTTGTTTCTTTTTGCCATTGTTAAATGGTACAACAGTCATCAGTACTGGTATTGTCTGAAATAGAAATAACATTCTAGGTGAAATAGTCATCTTAATCATTCAAATTCTACCCAACATGGACAACTGTTGTTTGTCCTACCTCAGTAAGTCTTTTTTACCATCATTCCATACCTTAGCATAGTTATTCTGAAACTGCATACAATTCACATTAGTCAATGTAACCCCTAGATATTTAACCTTCTCAATTTTAGAAGCCATCGTTTTCATCAGAGTCTCTTGGTCTTGTGTACTCACTTTTTTTTTTATTTTAAAAACAAAAGTTTTGGATTTACTTACATGCATTCTAATGCACCAAAGTCTTTCACTTTCTTCATTTCATGAAGTGCTCAATACCATTCTGGGGTTCTTGCAAAACCAAGTCAAAAGCCTTCATTGTATAAGCCTCTTTTTTGGTTTTCAACCCTGTTATTTTCTCATCCTAATATTTTCAATTAACACTTAAAAATCAAAGATGACAAAGAACATCCTTGTCGTGCCCCTTCTGTATTTCAAGTGATTTAGTTAGATTCTCCCCAAAGTTGAGATCTTCCAGTGTTTTGAACACAAAAGAGCAAATAATCAAAAGTTTGCTCTGCTTCAAGAAAAATCAATGCCGCTTGCTTCTCATTGTCCTGTTGCAAATACTCTATTATAGGGACACACGCACACACACCCTGCCGGTCTGAGGCCCTGGGCCAGGCTGTAGCCTGTTGGAAACTGGCCTGTGTAAGTGGCAGATGAGTGTGTGCAAAGCTGCATTTGTGCAAGCAGCAGGCATTCACAAAGCTATCCCTCTCCCTGCCGCTGCGGGTCCACAGAGCCGGAAAGATTCAGGATTGCTGCTTTATTACATCCAATACAATTTCCACATTATCTTTTAATTGTCTTTTGAGTAAAATTTGATCATCTTGTAAAATCCTTTTTAGTTTATCAGCCAATATTGTTGTAAATATTTTATAATCAGTTAAGTAGATATACATTCTTGTCAAAGTAATCAAGAGGAGATAAGAACTTGCTCCATGTTTTAAAACCCTTCCTCTCCCAAAATGCCTCGCAAGTCTCTGAATTTACTTGCTATGTGCTGCTCCTTAGTGACCTTTCTTTGCAGTTATACAGTGTTGCTTGGTTTTTCCAGTCTGGTGACGATCCCATGGAAGTTTAGTTCTGCCCATTGATCCATCTTGCTCTTCAGATTTGCTTAGTTGAGTGGCAGGGCTGTTATACTCTGCAGCTGCTTTTCTGGATTTGCCGATATCTATTTCTAGACCCTTGGCCAGCTCTGTTAGAAGCTGAGTTTCTTTATTACGAATTTGCTTCTCTATCCCCAGGTCCTGGGAATGTTCAACTCAAAATTATAGAACAAGCAAGCAAACGAAGTAATGCAGAAAAGATCTCTGTATGATTTTTTTCTTGGCTGCTATGCATGGCATCACCCTTTCAAGTTTAAAATTAGATGCCTTCATTTTATATACTTGTGACTGGGAATCTGCATTGGTTTTTTTTTGACATAGTTAAATTTGACACTTCAAAAGAAAGTTGACTGAAGTTCCTTGAGATATACAAGAGATTTTGGAATTAAATGCTTGTGAAGTGATTGGCATTTTAGGAGCAGATCTCTATAAATAATAAGTGAATAAGTGTTATCCTTACATTGGGATATAGGAAGAGGACAAAAGAACTGACTAGGTACAAGACTAAAAACACTTGTTCTGTACATACCGTAATTCTCAGACTGGAGGATTCACAGAAGCTCGATTCCTAAAGTCTACATGGATATGTTGGGTTTTTTTAGGAATTAGCATAGGAAGTGGTAAAATTATCGCCTTCTTCTAGTCAGTTCAAGGAAAGTTATTCCATTGGCCCTTATCATACCACTGATTATATCCTCTGTCTACTTACTTGCAGTCCAATTTGCCCTACTATACCTGGCAGGAGGTACAAGCACGGATTATACAAATCCAAAAAGAGCACCAGATCTGCATTCATAAGAAGGAGCTGACGGAACTGGACATCTACCACCGCATCTTGCGCTTCAAGAACTACATGGTAGCCATAGTGAACAAGTCACTCCTGCCTGTGCGCTTCCATCTTCCCCTACTGGGAGACACTGTCTTCTACACCCGTGGTCTCAAGTACAACTTTGAACTCATTTTCTTTTGGGGTCCAGGCTCGCTCTTTGAGAACGAATGGAGTCTGAAGGCTGAGTACAAGCGTAGTAGCAATCGCATGGAGCTGGCTGATAAACTGGGCACCCGTATCTTATGGATTGGCATTGCTAATTTTCTCCTTTGTCCGCTTATACTTATATGGCAGATTCTTTATGCTTTCTTCAGTTACACTGAAATTCTCAAGAGAGAACCAGGCAGCTTGGGTGCCCGTTGCTGGTCTCTCTATGGCCGCTGTTACCTGCGACATTTCAATGAGCTGGACCATGAGTTGCACTCAAGACTTAGCAAAGGCTATAAGCCAGCTTCCAAGTACATGAACTGTTTCATTTCTCCCCTGTTTACTATTGTGGCGAAGAACGTGGCCTTCTTTGCTGGTTCTATCCTTGCTGTCCTCATTGCCCTCACAATTTATGATGAAGATGTACTAGCTGTAGAACATGTTCTCACAACTGTCACCATCCTGGGAGTGGCTGTCACTGTCTGCAGGTGAGTGGGAATGGTTGGATTGAAGCTATCATGGTTTGGGAGGCTTTCTTTATGGTTGGAGAATAATAACTGTTACTATGCAGGTAGTAAAAGCAATCCATTAATTTAAAAGATATATATTAAACACTAAGGGCTCTTATGTTTGCTCCCTCTTTGATTTTACTGCTAGAAGACAAATTAGAAGTGTCACTCTTTCCTATTTTAGCAGTTATGCCTGGAACATTTTAGAGTGCCATGAGTCTGAGACTTAACTAAGCCTCACAATTCATGTCTTTCAGTTCAGTTAAGCAAAGGCCTTTCCTAATTCATTAATCACGATGGCAGGATGCTTTGAAGTTGACTTCATTCTAATGATTGTGTCATAAAACTTTGAGAGGTCAGGAGACAAAACCTGGTTTTTCAGGAATCTTAAGACTTACTTGACACGTGTTATTAGGGTTTTTTTCCTGAATCTAACAGTGGTACAGTTGTTCACTATAAAGTGCATAGACACTGTAACTTTATAGCAGAGAGAAAAAGGGTACTAGTTGTGGAGTCACCAGTTTACTTAAGGGAATTGAAACAGAAAAAGAAAGTGGAAGAATTAGCAAATAAAGAGATGAAATAGGAAGAAACAAACAGGATGCAAATAATTGAGAGGGGCCCTCGGTGCTCTCTGAACTTGGTTGTTTTCTTCTAGATGTTTCATTACCCAAACTAGGTAACGTCATCAGTGCTAGTAAAAAGTGGGGTTTGCTCTCAGAATATATTCTAGTGGCTTGCTAGAGAGCAAACTCCACCCCTTATTAAGATTGATGATGTTACCTAGTTTGAGTAATCAAATGTGTAAGAAAACAATCAAGCTCAGAGAATACCAAGACCCCTTTATTTCAACCCCGAGCTACAAATATTCTCCTTTATTGATATAAATAATTGCAAGTTGAAGGTTTCTCTTTTACATTGTTGTTTATGGATCAGCATTTAAATCAACCTGGCATTTTATGAATTACAATATATGTTGTATATGTTCAATGGTTAAAAGGGTTCTGGAGAGATGTAATCTGCAACCAATGTCATGTCAATTAACAATTGGCATTGGAGGAATTATTAAAAGATTGCCCTACATGTAAACTAACATTGCACTTGATAAAACTTTTTTATAGAAAAGTAATAAAATCTGAAAGTCTTCAAACTAGAAGATAATGGTACAATTTGTTTGCGGGACAAAAAAAATTGTAAGATTAATTGCCTTCCTCCACAATGAATACATGGATTAGAGCTGCCTGTGCTGTGTCTGAAGAACTAAGAATTCCTATATAATCTTTATCTGTAACCTGTCCTTCCATTACTATAAAAAAAGAAGAAGTGTAAACAGTAGCAATATGCATTCTTTGCCAACAAGCTACTTCCTGTCTGCCGCTGCTTCTCAAGGGATGTGGAACTCCTTGGCTCCAGTTTATGTGGCTTGTGCACCCTTTCTGTCCCTGCAGGTCCTTCATCCCAGACCAACACCTGGTTTTCTGCCCTGAGCAGCTGCTTCGGGTGATTCTGGCACATATCCATTACATGCCTGACCACTGGCAAGGAAATGCCCATCGTTATGAAACCAGAGATGAATTTGCTCAGCTCTTCCAGTACAAGGCGGTAAGATAGGATAGGTTCGAGGGTGGGAGGGCCCTGTCAATCAAGAGAGGTCCCGAGTAGTTACTAGTTATAAACAAGATGCTTACATAAGAATCTCCAGAAATTCAGGGACCTTCTCATTTGGAGTAACAGTCGTGCTTGTAGTCATCCTGAGCTATGTTGGTAATATTCACTGTGGTGTTTTCTGAGACTGAATGGTTTGTTTTCTGTGTTCATCAAAGGTGTTCATTCTGGAAGAGCTGCTTAGTCCCATTGTGACGCCCTTGATTCTCATTTTCTGTCTGAGGCCCAAAGCTTTGGAGATCATCGACTTCTTCCGCAACTTTACAGTGGAGGTGGTGGGTGTGGGAGACACTTGCTCCTTTGCCCAAATGGATGTGCGCCAGCATGGGCATCCTGCAGTAAGTCCCACCAAAAGTTAAAAAATTGGAAATTAACTAGGAATTCAGAAAAGGCCGTTCTTCAATAGGATGTTAATGGAATGGAAGTATACCTGAAAAGTAATTTAAATCACAGAGCACAGAAGTGAGGGGGTCAAATAATAAAATGCAGCTTACATGTGGAGGTAATTGCTTTCACTCTGTCAGCTAAGTTATCAAGGTACAAAACAGTATTTTCCTCTGCTGTAGCCTTAAAATACTGTAAAAGCCTAATCACTCTTTCAGGCTCCTGGTACACTTGTGAATTTCATTTTCACAATATGAAATGTGGTTTACATATCAGATGTACACTGTTCGTAGGTTTTTTTTAAAGAATAACTGCATACTGGAAAAAATAATGATTCTAGGAGAAGCCGTTGTATTATTTTTTTGCTTGCACAAAATCAAGTAAATACGGATGGGGGGGATAGTTAGCTCTGATACTTCCCTGAGCTCTGCTCTGATTGTTTTGCAGTGGATGTCAGCTGGGAAGACAGAAGCCTCCATTTATCAGCAAGCTGAAGATGGCAAGACAGAGCTGTCCCTCATGCACTTTGCCATCACCAATCCACACTGGCAACCACCTCGGGAGAGCACAGCTTTCATTGGTTTGCTGAAGGAACGGGTGCACCGTGATAGCAGCCTGGCATTGGCCCAGCAGGCTGTCTTGCCTGACAATGCACTTTTTACCTCTATCCAGTCACTACAGTCTGAATCTGAGGTATCCACACAGAAGACGATGAGAACTAACAAATGGCAAAGCTACTTTTGTGAGATGTCTTGCCCCCATACAGGAGAGAATTGGTGTCTCTTTGTAGAGCGTTGAGAATGGGGGGACTGTTTGGGAATCTAAGCCAAGAATAGTGTTCTTGCTGGTTAGGCTGAGAAGAACCAAGGCACAGTGCCAACTATGTGTAGTCATTTGCTCTGTGCAGTGACTCCAGTGGACTACAGCTCCCAAACACTTTTATATATTCTAAGTTGACTTGACCAGTTCTGCATAAGGGCTTTCCTCACACCTGTGGTACTCTTTTCACCAGAGTAGCATTATCTCAGTTCATGAGAAGCCATCTTTGTTGCGAGAACTGTTGTATAGGCTGAAATCTTCCATGTCCTGCTTTGAGTAGGTTTCTTGTATTCCATCTTTCATTTGCACTTCTTAAAACAGAAACAGGCAATCTAGGAGCTGCAAGCAACATCTTCTAGCAGTCCGGAATAATTCAGCCTCAATTCCAGTAATACTCCCAATTTCTGACACTGCCAGTTTGCCCATTTTTTTTTTAGGAATTTAAAGATAAGAACAATAGCAATTTGTTTTTGTTTGCAGATGATTTTTCACCTCATTTTCAAAAGCATGAAAAAAAAATTAAAAGATTTTTAGCTGTTTATTTTCATTCATCAGTGAATGGCCTCCTGTGGCTCTCAGAAAATCACAAAGTTAAGCCCTTGTCCCAAACCCTTTAGAAGTAGCCAACCCCAGTCCTCACAGTATTTCTGTTATTGACACTCTCATACAAGTTTCAGGTACCTTCTGTGGAATTTCTATAAAGGTTTCCCACTGAGCCTCATTGAATCGCTTGCTTTCCTTTTCTCTATGTAAAGAGTCAACTATCCGGTTTTAATATCTTCCAGAAAATCCCACATGCCTTCTAGGGTTGGGATTGGTGAACGGATTAGCTTTCAGAATGGGAGAGTGAAAGTTTTCAGCTCTGCCCATTGCAGGTTCAGAGCTAAAATTGGAAAGGGATGGTGAAATTCTAGGGACAAACATGGGGAGAGAATCCTGCTCCTGAAGAATTAAAATCCCTCTTCTCTTCTGTCTGCAGCCACACAGTCTGATTGCCAATGTGATTGCTGGCTCTTCGGCACTTGGGTACCAGACAATCCGTGATGCGCAGACTTCACGGCACCTATCTGCTGTCTCTGAGGTGGCATCTGCTTTGCGTTCCTTCTCCCCTCTTCAGTCTAGCCAGACAATACATGGCAGTTCCCATGCTGATGGTGCCCAGCTTCGGGGACATGGTGCAATGACAGGCTCAGGGTAAGATATAGTGTGTGGTAAGCATCTCCTGGAAAAATTCTTAGAGATCAATAATCTCATCAATATTTTATCTGGGATGCTTTGAGAGTATATTCTGAGGAGTAATTTTTACTCGATGCTTTTCCTAGTAAAGAGGAGGGAGGGCAATGTCATTTTTTCCTCTAAACTGAACATTTTAAGGCCTTTAATTGTCCCTTCCTGCACCGTCTAGATCTGTTTTGTATGATTGAAGCTTCATAAAATTGGTCACTTCTCCAAGGCTTCACAAAAGCTGCTTTGTATTTTGAATGTGTGTTTTGCAGTCCCATTCTGGATGATGTGGAATCATAAGCCCATGATTGTGTACCCAGTTAGAATAGAGCTGCAAAGCATATATATGATTGATAAAAAGTTTATTTAACAGATGAGTGCTGGAAGGTGAGGCAGTCTTTCTGAATATCAGTGGTTTGTTTTTTTCTACCACCACATTTTGATTCTTTCCTTCACTTTGGCTGCAGGGTGGATGCCAGGACAGCAAGCTCTGGCAGCAGTGCTTGGGAAGGTCAGCTCCAGAGCCTAATTCTTTCAGAATATGCCTCCACTGAGATGAGTCTGCATGCTCTCTATATGCATGAGGTAATATGATCATAATGACTTACGCTGGGGGTATTTGTGGGGCAGGGGAGAGGAGGAAGTGAAAGAAATGACAGTGGTGTGAAGAGGTCATTGCATATATGTGGCCATTTCTGAGCTTGCCTAAGGCATTGCAGCTTAAATAACAATTAATATGTAAATATGTCTAAATCTAAAAGATTTTACTTTATTTATTTTATTTTGTCAAGTGATTACAAGATAACAGGTATAAATATAAACATAGTTATGAATACATGAAATGGATACACATAAGAAAAATAAAAGAAACAATAGGACAGGGATGGTAGGCACGTTGGCGCGCTTATGCGCGCCCCCTGCAGACCTCTTAGGAAAGGGGTGAGTTCAGTAGTAGACAGTCTAAGGTTAAAGTTTTTGGGGTTTGGGGAAGAAACTACAGAGTCAGGTAGAGTATTCCAGACATTGACCACTCTGTTGCTGAAGTCGTATTTCCTGCAATCAAGTTTGGTGCGGTTTACCTTGAGTTTGTATCTATTGTGTGCTCTTGTATTGTTATGGTTGAAGCTGAAGTATTCATTGACAGGTAGGACATTGCAATATATAATTTTATGTACTATACTTATATCACATCTTATACATAAGATGTGAATATGTATTGTTATGTTCATGTTTTATTTATTCAATTGTAAGTTGATTTGGTGGCTCATACCATGTAACAAAACAATACATAATAATAAAGATAAAAAGTACACATGGCGTGTTGACACTTCGGCATCTAGTTTGCTGGAGATGACACTGATTTTGAAGTCTTGGCTTGAGGCCAGAAAAGTCTTTGTATACTAGCGCTGCATTACAAAAAGGAAACGGAGGCAGAACAATGAAAGATATAATGGTGAAAACACAAACTATATGGGATTTATTTTACATTTAATCTTAATTTTGAAAGTTAGCTTCAGCATGATTTATATTGTTATTAGGGCTGTCCAGTATTTTGGATTCATCTGGGAAGCCAAAATAGTCACATTTGTTTCAGGATTCCCGCTGCTGCAGGAAAGCTTATGTCGTAGCTACCTTGTCCTAGACCCAAGTATGGCTGTTTTAGTGAATCACATATGGATGTTCAATCATGCTTTCAAAGAACTTTTCTCAGTTACAACCAAATCATTGCATAGCTCTGATGATTACTCATGAATTTAAATAATGTTTCTCAAGTCATTTCTGAAACATTTAGAACTGTATCCATATTTCTGGAAGGGCGCTTATATAACTGTGGACATACGTTGTGGATTTTGCTGTAAACTCAAACTTCCTGCTAGCATAGGGAATTGCGCTTGTATTATCCTGAAGTATCAAACTGAACTCAGGATCTGCGAAATAAGAATCACATCGTAAGAGATCATATTGGAAAACTTAAGGCAAAACTGCATCATACACTGTAGCTAGATGCATTTACATTTGAATGTTAGGTAACAGAATAGAACTGAACCTTCTGTTTGTACAGACGGGGACTCCACACACATATGTAGGACTGCAGGGCAGCTAATTTCAGGTCTGGAGCTAGATTTACTTGGGACCTCTCCATAACCTTGACTTGACTAAACACAGTCCCACTTTGTTTATTAACTCATTTTCACAGCTGCACAAGCAGCACGCCCAGTTGGACCTTGAACGACACTTGTGGCACCGGCGGGAGAGTGATGAGAGTGGCGAGAGTGCCCAGGAAGACCCAGAGGCCCAGAGGAACACCCCTAGCAGCACCATGCCTCGCTCAGCCAGTTATCCGTTTGCCTCCCCGCGTCAAGTTAGTGATGAGGCCTCTGCTCTACAGGCAGGCTTCCAGCGCCGTTATGGAGGTGTCTCGGGTATGTATAAAGTCTGGTAAATCCACGGTCATCCTGCATTCTTCAGCCAGAAGGGCTGAAATGACTTTTGAATAAGCCACAACTGAAAATTTGTTTGCATGATACAATGAACCATGATTTGCAAACCATAGTGAGTAGGCCTTGCATTAACTTCATTGTTTATCAATTATACATTAGGGCCTTATTCTTTCATTATTCTCAGATTACTAAGGGTAGGAGTTATTTTAAATATTAAATCCTACAGAGAACCTCTTTATACTTAATAATATGGCAAAAGCAAGAAGCAGAATGTGCAGTCCTTGTCATAAGATGAGGCTGCCCTGAGACTCCTTGTCAGCTTCTTAACTTTTGTTTCTATAGTTCTTGTGAACTATAGGTGAACATGATCACATACAGAATACTTGCCAAAAGTAACAATAATACCATTGTAAGCTTGAAAAGTTTCCCAAACGTTCCCTTTTATTGCTTCTATAGCTGAAAGCTTCCCCCCCCCCATAATTTTTACTCTTATTTTCTCTTCTTAATAAGTTACAGTGCTTTCTTCAAGCAATGGGTGAGTTCCATTCCATTCCTTCTGTCCTATTATAGACCCTGGTCCAGTGAATAGGGCTCCATCACACTTTGCTCGGCTGCCACTTGGGGGCTGGGCAGAAGATGGCCAAGCTGCTCGACACCCAGAACCTGTCCCAGAAGAGAGCTCAGAAGATGAGTTGCCACCTCAGCTACACAAGGTACAGCTTGTTTTATTCCTTGGTATTAGCAGTGGGTGTGGTGTGTGTTATCTCCTAAAAAGAAGGAATTTCCCATATCTTAATAAGTAGTTATTGGGGACATGAGGACCCAGATTGTTGGGGGCAATATGCTGACTCTGTAAACCTTAGGGCTGTAAAGCGGTATATAAGTCTTAAGCGCTGTTGCTATTAACAGGAGGGTCAAGGACAGCAAAATAGCTGGCGTGACCATGTATCAAAACCCACCCACCCCTTATTGACATGCATCCTACACAGCCCATGTTCATGAAAAGGAGTGATGCTTCAATTGCCTAGATGTAGCTGTCGATTTCACATAGTTGAACACACACACACACACACGCACACGCACACACACACGCACACACACACACAGCCTAGTGGTAATGCAGCGCTGCACATTGCTACCAAGAACTGTTTTGTCAAGGGATATATTAATTGATTTTGATGTAGAAATGGAAATGGGTGTGCCACCGACCTTAGAAGGGCATGTATACTGGGTTTTGTTTCTGACTAAATCAGTATCCTTCCTGTCAAAATAACTGCCTCTGTCTTAAACAATAACCCCTCCCTCCAGGTGTAACTGTGAAGGCTGAAGATCCAATGGGGGTTCCAGACCTGGGGCCTATCTCGGCTGGTGAGCAGTGAGTTACCCTGCCCTAGAAGATATGGGTTAGCTCTAGCACCCATGGCCTGGACATCAGAATACAAGGGTAACCGATGTGATGCTGTCAGTGGTGCCTTTTGGGGTGGGCAGAACTCTATCCAGACATGCATCATACCGGTGATGCATTAGCTGTGCATAGGCTGGGGTGTGTGTATTTACATATATTGTCTGTATCTACATACGTGTTGTCCATGTTGGAGAACCATCCAAGACCTGCACAGAATGCCACAGAGCACACAAGAAATGGGTGAGACAAGCAATGCTCAACCTGCCTGATGAAATCATCTTCAGTTGGGAAGAGGACCTGCTTGTGGATCCTGTTCAGCAGCCAGAAGAGCTGCTCCGTTGTCTAGACTACAGCATGACTAAAGATGCAATCAGGATGTAGATTTGGACTCAGGAAAAGAAGGGCTGTGAGAGATTATTTTTGTAACAAGAATTGAGGGCCAGACTTCCTCCACCCACTGACAGAGCCTGACTCAACTGAAGCGGTCGCACACAGCAAGGGAATACATCATCTTCGATTTTTCCATTCTACATAGATGCCAGACTAGAAGAAAAGAATACCCCTGTGGTGCCATCATCACTTCTATCATAGGATTTGCCTTTCTTGGGGCATAATTGATTTCTCATTGCTTGGGGGCCATATTCATTTCATGTCCTACCCCGCCCATATCAGATCACAGGTTTATCATGGTAATGTTTGCCTGAGACAAGATCTGAAGTGATCAAAGTCAGCTTTATAAAATAATGCCCAGCCTAAAAGCCTTGAAAGAAACTCTGCTCTAAAAGCCCTTGATTCTCCTGCTGAGACTCAGAATCAAGAATAAGACTTTGTACTCTGTGTGGGTGTGTATATGTATGTGTCTATGTGTGTGTGTGTGTGTGTGAGAGAGAGAGAGAGAGAGAGAGAGAAAGACGAGTGGAGATTACCAGTGCTTATCAGAGGCATGATAGGCATATCATATTTAAGTAATTCTTTAATATCCTGCTTGGCTTCTCCAAATTGGTGCTGCCCCATTCGTGATTTTCTTTTTGTTTTCCCTTTGGGTGCCTTGATGGTAATTATGCAGCTCTCATGGAAATACCATATGCCAAAAAAAGCTATCTTAAAACTCAAGAAGGGATGACTTTCATGTTTTTACAAAAAGAGTTAATTAAACTCACAATTCAACAGATAAAGCCCTATTTCAAACTGTCTACAGAAACACTGGTGTTCGATTCTTGCCCTTGCTCTTCTGTCCTTTCTGTATTATTTGTAGGCTAGCTGGGCCTAGTTAAGTAGTAGGAACCATTGTGGTTTAAAAAAAACCCACTATTTTTTCTGAATTTCGTTTTTGGAGAGCCCATAGTCACAATGGGTCATATTTTAAATTCTCATTAGCCTTTTAGGTAATGATCAGTGACAACCACTACCTTGTGTTAAAGAAGTAAATTATCCCAGATAATATATTCTGTTTTCATTGTCGCAGACTAGGCTGTGCAGGATCCCATAGCTGATTTTTCTGGGGATGTTTCATGTTTGGGAAAGCCAGATTCCTGAATTTTATATACTTTCCTAGGGGTTTTTGAAGGAAAACAAAAACAGATTATGTATCCTCAGTTTTCCACAGACTTGTTTCTAGTTCATGGCTCAGTATTTTCCTGTACTCATCATTTCTCTCCCAGTAGTTTTATCAAGTATCTATGGGATAGGGAAATGTTGTTGAGCTGCTACTGCAGAGTGTTGTCTGCCAAGAAATAAAAGAACGTTCAGTAACTACCCTGCAGGTGCTGTTTCTTGGCCTGATAAGAGTCGTAATCTAGGATATCTGGTGTAGGACCACCGCTGACCTATAAGGTGCCTTTGTGCAAAAAGCTTTTTACCACCAGAGCATCAAATCATGTCAGTGGTTTCCCAGTGCTTCAGTCTCCCTTTTCTTCTACAGCACATGTGCAGAATAGTAACTAAAATAACTTCGTCCTCCAAACCAATTGCCTGCAATGTGGCACTGGGATACTACTGCTCCCATAATTCCCTCCCCTCACCCCAGTGTCATGGTGCCTTTGTACAATGCACAACTCACGCACCTTCGTGTGGCTGTGGTTTAGTTCTCTAAGTTGGGTCGGGATGGTTTAAAACTACAGATACAGCTAGGATCAGCATTATGCCTACTCCTCATTAGTATACGGAGAAATCCAGCAATATTGACATATCCCTGTAGAAAGAAGAATCACTTTGTAGGTTGCTGCTTTGAATTGTGCTGGTCAAGTATGGGCTCTTCTTCAGCCTCCATCTTGACGTAGCTTAGCCAAAAGGATAGCAGGGGAGGCAATACTAGCAGTCATGCATTCTTCTTATCTTTGCTCCATCTGCATCTGCATGGAATGGCCACCTTCTACCTCCACATTTATTTGTGGCATTAGGGAGGCCAGTTTGTATGTGAATAATGCAAGTGGTTTGTAAAGCAGAGCTGATTGTCCAGCTTCCTGTACAGTATCTACTGAATAAAGGAGGTGTTCTCTGAAGGGTCTGGCCATTTGTGTGGGATTATCCATTACACCCAAGTTTAAATTAGAAATGTAAGAGAGTTATGTTAGCCCACCTGCAAAGGGTACATTTTAGCCAAGATTTCAACTCACCCTGACATGCCACTTCAAACGCCATCTTAAATCACTTCAATGATTCGCCATCTTAAATCACCGTGCAGTTGAAATACAACATTTATTTTGAGAGCAGTGGACACAGTGAGTGTGAGTGCTTAGGTCAAATGACCCTCCTTGTGAAGGTTTGGATATCCTGCTCCATGCACTTGTTCTCAAAGGTGTGTCTCTGCATAAAGCCACTGTTTCTTAATACTGACTGCTTGCAGAATGGACCAAGCTGAATCCCAGATTGTACGTCATCACTTTTGAGACATTAAGAGAGATGTGGTTCTTCGTTTAATAGTTTGGTGTTGAGATAACATTCTTCTACAAGTTAAGAGGTCAAAAAGCACATCAGTTTTATTAAACCTGATGAAGGTGGAGTTATTTTTGCAACTCAAGAGTGATGTTGGTGCTTATTGACTGCATATGTTACCATGTGCTACGATTGATGCGCTATGAGGGGTCTTTGATGCACTATGAGGGGTCTTTGATGCTCTCTGAGCTTGATTGCTTTCTTACAGATGTTTCATTATCCAAACTAGGTAACATCATCACCACTAGCACTGATGATGTTATCTAGTTTGGATAATGAAACATCTGCAAGAAAACAACCAAGCTCAGAGAGCACCATGGAGCCCTCGTTTCAACCTTGAACTACAAATAGTGAACTACAAACATCTAGAAACAAGTAAAGTAATAACTAGCAGTCAGCACAGGTTTGTTAAAAAGATCATGCCAAACCAATCTTATTTCATTCTTCAACATAGTGACTAAATTAGTAGACCAGTGAAATACTGTGGACATAATATGTTTAGATTTCAGCAAGGCATTTGACAAAGTAGACCACAACCTACTTCTTAGTAAGCTAGAAAAAAGTGGAAGAGATAGCACCACCACTAGATGGACTCGCAACTGGCTGACAAACCATACTCAATGAGTAGTCCTTAATGGGTCCAAGTCTACATGGAGGGAACTAAGTAGTGGGGTGCCAGAAGGTTCTGTCTTAGGCCCAGTCCTCTTCAATATCTTCATTAACAACTTAAATGAGGGAATAGAAGGGGAACTTACCAAATTTGCAGTTGATACTAAGCTGGCAGGAATAGCTAACACCTAAGAAGATAGGCTCAAGATCCAGATGGATCTTGACAGATTAGAACACTGGGCCATATCTAACAAAATAAAATTCAGTGTAAAGAAAAGTAAAGTCCTACACTTAGGCAAGAAAAACCCAAAGTACACATAAAGACTGGGTGAAAACAGGCACAATAGCAGTAACTGTGAGAGGCATCTTGGAGTCTTAGTAGAAAACCAGCTAAATATGAGCCAACAGTGCAGCAGCAGCCAAAAAAGCTATTGCAATCCTAAATTGCATTAACAGAGGGATAAAATCAAGATCAAGTGAGGTACTAATACCACTCTATAAAGCCTTAATAAGATCACACCTAGAGTACTGCATCCAGTTTTGTTCACCACATAATAAAAAGATGTTGAGACTCTAGAAAAAGTACAGAGAAGAGCAACCAGGATGACTAGAGGACTGGAGGCTAAAAGATATGAAGAACAGTTAAAGGAACTGGGCTTGTCTAGTGAAGAGAAGGACCAGGGGAGACATGATAGCAGTCTTCAAATATTTGAGGGGCTGCCACAGGGAGGAAGGGGTCAAGCTATTTTCTAAAGCACCCGAAGGCCAAACAAGGAATAATGGATGAAAACTGAACAAGGAGAGATTTAACCTGGAAACGAGAAACTTTCTGACAGAACAATCAACCAATGGAACAGCTTGCCCTCGGAAGTTGTGGGAGCACCATCACTTGAGACTTTCAAGAAGAGATTGGACTGCCATTTGTCAGAAATGGTGCAGGGTCTCCTGCTTGGGTGGGGGGTTGGACTAGATGACCTATAATGTCTCTTCCAACTCTGATTATCTCTTATCTGTTATATTCCCCTTTATTGGCACTATGTACTATCACAGAAGTAGTATTGCACAAAGAATAATTACAGTCTGTATTATACCTGCAAATATTACATTCAGAGCTGTGTGCTAACTAGAATGCTGGTATGAGTAAATGTCCAGTGTCTTTTTTATATATATATATCGAATTTTAGTTTTGTATATAATCACAACATGAAGGAGAAAAATAGTGAAATATTTCCATGGTGGGTAGATCAGAACAATTGCTGCACATCGTGGGGATATTTTAGAACGGAATATTAGCCCTAATTTCTAGCTCTGCATCTAATCTGAATCTTTAGAATAACTTTGGCAAACCTTTGTTAAAAATAAAGGAATGTAATTACTGGGAGGGGGGGCTGTCGAGATACTTAAATCTTTCGTTTTGTGTGTTTTGCCTTTTGTTTTTGAAATATGTGGACCAGATATTCCCTTCCAGAATGCAAATACAGATACTTTACAGTTTGAGAAAATGTTTTCTAAACTGGTGGGCATTGTGACTTCTTTCCTCCTCCCCAGCTTCTACAAGGCACAGGTATATATCTACTGACACAGTGGAATCACTGGGAAGGGGGCACCTAGAACTTTGCCCTCCTGTTTTGCTTTTGGAGTGCCTTGTTTTTGCACCTCTTTAGAGAAAACCATACAAACTATGGACACCATGAATGCCACAAAACTGGAAGTGGGAACTGTATGCAGCACAGCAATGCACTTATAAGACATGCCCTGCAAATTAAGCCAAGGATCTTGAAGTTCATCAAATCAACTGTTTTAGTTACTAGGTTGAAATAAAAGATGAATCCATTTTCATATATAATAAGCATTCAAAAATGCATTTGGATTGCTCATTCTTCCTATTAGCATTATTTCTGAACCAAATCTTTATCTCATTTGTAAGTGCGGGAGGGGAACTGTATAAATATTGAGCTCCCTGAGACCGAAGCCCATGTTAATATTATGCACTCCAGGTCCAACAAACTTTTCAGAAGAGCCGGCGCTTACCCAAAGTTCGCCATCTTTGGAAGGAAGTCATTGAAGAAGTGTTGGTGATACAAGTTTCACTGACATCTGTCCCTAACTTATAATGTTAAAATATCGAAACTATTGGGAGATTCCATAGTCAATAACACCTTAGGATTTTTTTTTTTAGAAGGTGACAACATTTTTGGTGTTTATAAAAGAGAATAGTTGTAGCTCAGGATTGAAACAAAGGGTCCTTGGTGCTCCCTGAGCTTGCTTGTTTTCTTGCAGAGGTTTCATTACCTAACTAGGTAACATCAGCAGCATTAGCACTGATGATGTTGCCTAATTAGGTGATGAAATGTCTGTAAGAAAACAAGCAAGTTCAGGGAGCATCTTTTAGCTCCTTTTTCAGACATTTTCAACAATGCAGTTGACTGAAAATGTCAATCTAGGCAAGCTCTCTCCTTCTGGTGTATAGTAGGATAAATCATGTTTCTTTTATTTCTAAAAAGTCGGAATATATGGAATTAGATCCTTTGGGAAGATTAGACCCATATTATCAGTAGATTCTGCCTCTTAAAATGTGCTTTCCCCTAAGCATGGTTAACTGTGTTTCACAAATCTGGCTGATTACCAGATGGAAGCTACCATGTCTCTGCTGCAATTTGTGGTGATCTTTGTGCAGCCAGGGTTGTTTGCAGAGAGTGGTCAAAAAAGTCAAGATGGCAGCCATGACAATGTAATCAGAGCTTTGTCTGCTTTTTATGTGTACAATGTATACAACACACATATCTAACCTGCACAAGTTCAATCACTGTTAATAACAGCCATCCTGTGATCATCCCTATCTGCGGCCCACATATTAGTATCCTTACTCTCTCTATCTGTTAAAATATACACCTTCATTTCATTAGTGTTTCAGAGCTGAAACTGGGTCCTTGGCTTAGTTAAGTAATGAACAATAGATAGTTGGGCATGAATCACATTAATACTTCCATTCCTCGCCAATGATCTCAGCCTGCCAGGCTGGGCGTAAATCCCATTTTACCTTCACAGCCTCCTTGAACTCAAGGTCACATGTTTCCATAGTTGAAACTGGTGCTGCTATGAATGTTTACTTTATGACATAAACTAAACATTCACAGCAGCATATGTTTATCAACTAAATCCTGAGTTCAGTGTAACTAATGCTCTACTTTTCTGTAAATAGTGCTGCACTC